TATATCCTGAACAACTAGAAAGATAAACTTAATAAGAGATGAAAATGAAAGCTACATGTAGGGGCCCATTCATCTCTGAATTACGATCATTTCTAGAGACCAGGGTGAGCTTTGGTAACTTGTTTAGCGGATGTAGAAGTTGCCAGATTGATTAGAGGACTTCATGGGCCAGGATGAGCACAGAACAGATAAAGTGCTGACAGTCTCAATACAGGAGCCCATATTCCCCTCTCGATCGAATGGGGATGCTTCCAAAGATGAAAGGATAGCTCAAATCCATGGCCCACTCAGTTCTTGGCCTCCTATCTAAGACTGTCAACTAAGAGGCTAAATGTGATGGTTTTGTGTACAGACCGCTGAAAAACTTTCATATCTTAACTTTGGGTGGCAGAGCTATACTGACCTAGACCAAAATTAAGAAGTTTCTTAAGCACTCTATATCCTATTTCCAATCCCTTTGGCCATGCAGTCCTCAATCTGACAGAGATGCTATGATCTAAAACCTTGCTCTTTAGGCAGGCCAATATGCAAAATATCTGGGAGTGTCAGACACCCTAAAGGTTCCCAAAGGTTTTGGTTCACAATGGACCAGTCCTTCCTATTTTTCTAGAACAAAAAACATGAAAGAATAATGCAATTGTGATTAACCAAATCTGGAGCTCACTATTCAGTCAAAACTCACAATGAATAGGAATTGCTTTTGAGTAGAGACTGAATACATGCTTAATAAGAACTTTAAGTTTTTGAGGCAATATGCATTTAGAGAGGGGCCTGACCCACCCCTACATTTGGGGAAGGAAGAGGGAGTCCAGAACTTGAACCCAGATCTGCATTTCATAGCTGTATGATGGATCAAACCAAACCAAACCAAGGCAAACGACCTGAAGCACTGGGGTGATTTAAAAATCCAGATCTGCGTCCAAATTATGTGACTTTTACCCATGTATAACACCACTTTCTACTAGCCCCTTCTCTTCCGTAGGACTGTTGCCAGGATTTGCCATCACTTGCAGGTGTTCAGAATGCTGCAGCATGTTTACCTCTCCGTCTGAGCCACTAAGATCATTTTTCTCTCACCCAGGATCTCTTTACATTGACTGATCATGAAGCAGTTCAATCATTAAGTTGGCTCTGTTAGTTTATAGAGCCTCTAAATGGATGGGCTAGCTGTTCGCTCCTGGAGACTGGTCATGATGGGCATTTGTGCTCTCGTGTGTAAAACATCACTTTTTCGAGATCCCACCATCAGACCTTAGGCCCCTCTCACTTTGGTTGAGAAGATATCATGATTTTACAGGGACAGTATTGATATTCTGAGTTTTTTCTTACATAGGCACCTACTTGCCATCTGGTCACCCTATCCTCCCCTGGAGACCTTAGTTCAAGGGGGACTTAGGATGAGGACACACTACCTCTTGACAGCCAACTCAGTCCTTGTTTAAAAACATACTTTAACCTCCCCTCCAAAATATGATTTTGTAATCATCATTTTTGGCCCTACATTCGTCACCTTTGCCCCCACACTGCTATTTCAGCCCTGGGTTCTTGTAGCCAAACCCTCCATTGGTTCTATTCATTCAGTACCCAAAGAATAGAAGCAAAATGCAGGACAAGGTAGCACTTTAAAGACTAGCCAAACCCTCCATTGGTTCTATTAATTCAGTACCCAAAGAATAGATGCAAAATGCAGGACAATGTAGCACTTTAAAGACTAACAAGATGGTTTATTAGATGATGAGCTTTCGTGGGCCAGACCCACTTCCTCAGATCAAATAGTGGAAGAAAATAGTCACAACCATATATACCAAAGGATACAATTAAAAAAATGAACACATATGAAAAGGACAAATCACATTTCAGAACAGGAGGGGGATGTGGGGGAGGGGGGAAGAAGGAAGGAAGGAAGGTATAGAATAGAAGAGATTAATCGTTACCCTTTTCCTTCTTACGCAAGTACCACCAGAAACCAGAAGCTGCTATGGCAATTACAGCCAAGACAATTGCTGCGATAAACCCTTTCTGCCATGCAGCCAGGATGACTGGAAATGAGAAGAGACACGTGTGATAATACATGCAGCGGTACAAAGTCACTACTGGCTTTAACCACTCCCAGCTCCTCACTGCAAGCGGTGTCGGCATTACGAGAAGCATTTAGTGCTCAGGAGGGTGAGGCCAGATAGCTCTGGAAAAGCTTTAAAGATTTCATTACCATCAAGAGTTTGTTACTGGGATCTTCCCTAACTGGTGTGTCTGTTCCTAGGTCCTGTCAGGGAAAGCTTTTAGTGCTGATCTTTGGCTTCTCAGCCTCCCCATCCTGGTATAGTGAAGGATGTAGGCACAGCCCATTTTCTTAAGTGGTTCTCCCTGACCCACCTCTACTACAAATCTGAAGCCAAAGAAAATGCACAAAGAGCCACAAAAGTTTAACCCCTCACACCTAAGTTAGATAGATGTGGCCACTGGGAATAACAAATCCCCTTGGTCCAGTTCAATGCAGGTTGAACCTCTCTAGTCTGGCACCGTGGGGACCTGACCGGTACCAAGCCAGAGAATTTGCCAAACCATGGGAGGTCAACATCATCAACACTTCCACTGATTGCTGGGCTCGTAGAAGACATTTGGGGGTAAATTAGAGTTAAATAACAGCACAGAACACTGAGAGCCAGGACCAGTGGCTGTAAACAAACTTTATGGGGCCCACAGAAAACATGGCTACACCCATGATAAGTGCACATCCAACTAACTAAAATCATGCCAGACCGTGGATGTTGCCAAACCAGAGAGGTTCAACCTGTACCAGTAAGTATTATATAAAATCTAGCATTGAGTGACAAATAGGCAAGGGCATCCACCCGCCACCCAATTTATAGCTAGGCAGGGAGATTTCCTGGACACTGCTCATTTTTCGCTGCTTAGGCATAGCTAGGGGACTAAAGGAAAGTGAGATCCTGGCATGATGGATTTCAGGAGAAGAATTTATTCCCCTGAGTTTTTCATTTGCCAGTCAGTTAAAGTAGGTTTTAGTTTTGGATCTATTCACTTTTGTTGTGGATTTTTCTAGGGAGGAGTGCTGTTGCATTAGGCCACAGTCCATGCTACATAAGTTAGTTTTCCTTGCATCTAGGAGTTAAGTCCAAAACAAAATGGGATTGTTTCGGTTAGATGGTGTCCCAAATCTTCCATGCAATCTCCTATCAAGAGCATAGTGGCAATACAATCCAGCAGCAAAGTACCTACCTACAGTCACATGGCCCTTCATCATTCTTTTTATCCTACAGTGCTTGGTGTTTTTGCCAGGCACCATGTGTTGCAACGAAATTCCCCCTATGAAGCAGGAAATTCCTGCAGCAGAGGGGGAATTTTAAAGGAGCAACACATTAAGATGCCTTCTCGCCTGTCATTTAAAGAAGTTACAGATACAGTAAGAGATGCCAAGGATCTAGGACACCCTAAGGCTACGTCTACACTGGCATGATTTTCCGCAAATGTTTTTAATGGAAAAGTCTTCCGTTAAAAGCATTTGCGGAAAAGAGCATCTAGATTGGCACAGATGCTTTTCTGCAAAAGCACTTTTTGCGGAAAAGCGTCCGTGCCGATCTAGAGGCACTTTTGCGCAAAAAAGCCCCGATTGCTATTTTCACGAGCGGGGCATTTTTGCACAAAACAAATCTGAGCTGTCTACAATGGCCCTTTTGTCCGAACAGGAGCAGCACAGTATTTCCGCAAGGAACACTGATTTCTTACATGAAATCATCAGTGTTCTTGCGGAAATTCAAGCGACCAGTGTAGACAGCTGGCAAGTTTTTCCGCAAAAGCAGCTGCTTTTGCAGAAAAACTTGCCAGTCTAGACACAGCCTAACAGTATATGTCACAGAAGATTTGAGATAGACCCATTCTATAGTATTCAGAGCAGCGTAAATCTCCCAAGTTGTCCTCTCAGGGTGTGCCATGAGGAGCATAGCTTACCGTTAATGAATAGCAAGTTGCTTCGCACAGGCAAGCTGGCCCGGTTGGAGACTTCACAAAAATATTTCCCTGTGTCTTGCTTCTTCAACGATGTCATCTGCCAGATGACTTTAGTGCTCATTTTGCTTTCATAAAATAAAGGTTTCTTGTCATTTTGTTTAAAAATGCTGAAGTTGATTGGCAAAGATCCTTCTTTTACAGAGCAGAAAAAGGTAATATCTCCACCACTCTCTGCTTCCTGATAGAGTAAACTTCCAAAGCTTACATTCCTAATAGGAGCTGCAGATGAAAGCGTGGGGGGAAAGACATATCAGGTTATAAAATACTATTGTAGAAATGCTTCATGTGGTGCCAGTTCATCTTCACGTCAAACAGACTGACAACACATGACGTGTGTTCATTTATTCCCATGCTCCCTAGACAGCCTTTGTTCAGGAGCAATGCCCATTGATTTATATGTAACTCAATAATGTCTATTCCCTCGTCTACTTATGGTTGCTCAAAATAACCAAAAACAAAAGGAGAGAAAGTCTGAACCAAAGCCTATTAAAGTCAATGAAAGTTTTCCTATAACTTGAATGGGTTTTAAATCAGGGAACAATTTAGATATTACTAGAAATATCAACCACCTCCTCAGCTTGTGTAAACCATCATAGCAACCTTGGCTTCAGGGGAGTTATGCTATTTTACACGAGCTAAAAATCTGGCACAATACTTCTAAATCTGTCTATCTATCTATAAAATATACATAATTTAGAGGGTTTGTGTGTCATCCATCTGAGAGTCCATTTGTTCAAGAAGTCATCCTAAACTAAAAGAGCTAGGGCCACCACATTTGGTATGCAACGTCTTGTTATCCTAACTTAGGCAAAGTTTGGTTTGCTTTGGTTGTGCCAGGAAAATGGGAAGTGCCTGGAATTCGATTGTTTTCATAACACAGAAAGGGAGGGGGCTGATAGAAGGGACAGTTATATTGCAGAGTGACCACTGGGGGCAGTGAGCATGGGGGACAGCTGTACTGCAGGGTGACCACAGGGTGTGGCCAGCTGGGGCCAGAACTTTCCATGTTACTAGCCACCAGCCCAGGTAAGTGGTCCCCCTGCCTCAAACCCTCCTGCTCCTGGCCCTCAGCCATAGTACCAGATGGGGGGAGCCCCGCTAGCCTCAGCCCCACCACCCTTGAGGAGCTACAGAGCAGGGTCAGGCAGCAGAGCTTCACCACCCCGACAAGATGGAGACTACCAACACCCTCCCTCCCCAGTAAGCTGGAGGGGAGGGCCAGCCAATGCAGCCCCTGAGGAGCACCACCAGGGCTGGGGCTAAGGCTGAGCCATACAGCCCCACCTCCACCCCAGGAGCATCACCAGGGCCAAGGCTGGAGGACTGTGCAGCCCCAAGGGTTTGTGTGTCTTCCATCTGAGAGTCCATTTGTTCAAGAAGTCATCCTAAACTAAAAGAGCTAGGGCCACCACATTTGGTATGCAACGTCTTGTTATCCTAACTTAGGCAAAGTTTGGTTTGCTTTGGTTGTGCCAGGAAAATGGGAAGTGCCTGGAATTCGATTGTTTTCATAACACAGAAAGGGAGGGGGCTGATAGAAGGGACAGTTATATTGCAGAGTGACCACTGGGGGCAGTGAGCATGGGGGACAGCTGTACTGCAGGGTGACCACAGGGTGTGGCCAGCTGGGGCCAGAACTTTCCATGTTACTAGCCACCAGCCCAGGTAAGTGGTCCCCCTGCCTCAAACCCTCCTCCTCCTGGCCCTCAGCCATAGTACCAGATGGGGGGAGCCCCGCTAGCCTCAGCCCCACCACCCTTGAGGAGCTACAGAGCAGGGTCAGGCAGCAGAGCTTCACCACCCCGACAAGATGGAGACTACCAACACCCTCCCTCCCCAGTAAGCTGGAGGGGAGGGCCAGCCAATGCAGCCCCTGAGGAGCACCACCAGGGCTGGGGCTAAGGCTGAGCCATACAGCCCCACCTCCACCCCAGGAGCATCACCAGGGCCAAGGCTGGAGGACTGTGCAGCCCCACTCCCATCCCCAGAGGAGCACCAATGGGACCAGAGCTGAGAACTGTGGCTCCAGCCTCTCCTGAAGAGAACCTCCAGGGCCAGGCACCTCAGCCCTGGCCCCCACAGGAGGAGCCCGCAGCAACAGAAGCATTCTTGCTACTGCGTCTTGTTATCCTAACTTAGGCAAAGTTTGGTTTGCTTTGGTTGTGCCAGGAAAATGGGAAGTGCCTGGAATTCGATTGTTTTCATAACACAGAAAGGGAGGGGGCTGATAGAAGGGACAGTTATATTGCAGAGTGACCACTGGGGGCAGTGAGCATGGGGGACAGCTGTACTGCAGGGTGACCACAGGGTGTGGCCAGCTGGGGCCAGAACTTTCCATGTTACTAGCCACCAGCCCAGGTAAGTGGTCCCCCTGCCTCAAACCCTCCTGCTCCTGGCCCTCAGCCATAGTACCAGATGGGGGGAGCCCCGCTAGCCTCAGCCCCACCACCCTTGAGGAGCTACAGAGCAGGGTCAGGCAGCAGAGCTTCACCACCCCGACAAGATGGAGACTACCAACACCCTCCCTCCCCAGTAAGCTGGAGGCCAGGGCCAGCCAATGCAGCCCCTGAGGAGCACCACCAGGGCTGGGGCTAAGGCTGAGCCATACAGCCCCACCTCCAC